ACTTCCACGTGATTTCTGTGCGGTTGGTCTCTACGTGACATACTTAGTGGAAACCTCATAGGAAGCGGTGAGTGTGCAAAGCTGTGTTCAAAGTGATTGAAATCTTGGTTTGGAGTTTTTTTGTTTGGTTGTGGAGGCGTCTGGCCGAGTGAGTTGCTATCAACTTGACCTTTCCAGGCTCTGAAGAAGGCGAAATCCGCCGAAACGTCAGCTTAATCGTGAACAAAGAATAATAACACCTCGCGTTTGCTCAACAAAAATACGAAGTATCACGCGTGATATAGGGCAGTATATAAAACTGCTTTTCTGATGTGAGGGGCACATTATACTTCCACGTGATTTCTGTGCGGTTGGTCTCTACGTGACATACTTAGTGGAAACCTCATAGGAAGCGGTGAGTGTGCAAAGCTGTGTTCAAAGTGATTGAAATCTTGGTTTGGAGTTTTTTTGTTTGGTTATGGAGGCGTCTGGCCGAGTGAGTTGCTATCAACTTGACCTTTCCAGGCTCTGAAGAAGGCGAAATCCGCCGAAACGTCAGCTTAATCGTGAACAAAGAATAGTAACACCTCGCGTTTGCTCAACAAAAATACGAAGAAAATCACTTGATCAATGCCGAGGTTAATAGAAAGTCGGCCGTGGCAGTGAAATTAGACTTCGTCGCGAGAGCATTAAGGAAAATTTGATGGGAATTTTCTATTAATGGCAGATTTTTCGTCCAAGTTGGGAGACTTAATTATCCACTGTAGTTCGACTGTGAATAGCTTTAGAGAGAATGTCGCTATATCGAATATCCTTGTCTATACGAATAAAAAACGATTGATCAAAGTGGTCGAGAGCAAAGCCGGGTTTTCGTAGTGTAGTAAGCAATAATTCTTAGCAATAATAGTCGGATTGGGTTCTCACACAAAACGAATCAACGTCTACTGAGTGACGAGCGCTGCCTAGGATGACTAGAACAAAAGACTGGTGATATTACCGAAACACTTCGATATCTATAGCTGTAGTCTTGTGATCTATGTAGCAGAATCCCCGTAGAGATGTGGTTTGGTCCAAGTTTTTTCGTAGACAGATGTTAAGAATCCTATCGTTATTTGACAGGAATGAGGCCAGAACATTATAATCACGAAGGTTTTAAAGTATTTCATTTTACTGCTTCTTATCGGAGTTCTGGAGTCCTCTGATGAGCGCTCTTCAAATCCGTAGTCGCACTTTCTCGTCAATTCAGTGATGTACAGTAAGGATTCCGAGGACATTGTTCTTGTCATACGAGTTCTCTTCTTCGGCAAAAGCTGAAATCCTCTCATTTTATATTCTGTTTCAGATACCTTTAATATACAGGCATTGAAGTCTACGACAGTAAATACAAAGACTTTACTTTGCTAATCTCTTCTTCCAGCTGATTGTAGAACACAAGAGAGGGGATATACTGCCTATTAATCGCCATTTATGTACTGGAGAGATACTGTTCTCGGATTATGTGACAATAGACTACCAAGCGGGCTTAGTTCGCTCGCACACATTAGCTCCATCATAAAAACCGATTGCTATGAACATTCGCAACCCAAATCTGGTGACAAAAACATTTGATATAACGAAGGAGCAGTGGGGAATGTTACCTCTTATATGTTGCCATTTATGTTTCAATAATATGATTTCTAGTGAAGGGCATTAGTGATAAAAGTTGATGATGATAGTCGTGTTGTAGAAGAGAAACAAAAATGACGAACTAACATCCAGTCCAGTAGAACATAACAGTTTGTATGCACTTGCTCCACAGAGTCGTGAGATACAAGAATGTTCTGCACCGAATGAACGTGGATTAAGTTATATAATACATCCACAAGATTGCTGAGATATTTGCAAAACTCCGGATCGCAGGTGTCTGCGGTGGGGAACGAACGCGCTATTGTCCTTTCCTGGGAGTAACGCGTTCACCACCACACCATGAGGGTCCTTCGTTTCGCCTGACTCTCAGCTAGTTGTATCGATCACAAGATTGATCGATAGATGATGTGGTGGTGAACGCGTTACTCCCCAGAAAGCATAATAGCGCGTTCGTTCCCCAACGCAGGCACCTGTGGTCCAGAGTTTTGCAAATATCTCAGCAATCTCGTGGTTGTATTTCGCTTAATACTCTGCCATGAAAATTATAGAAGGCAGGAAATGAAAAGTAAACATTGTAAGTCATATAGTGGTTATTTTTTATTTTCTGCCTATAGAATTTTCAAGGTACGGTGTTAAGCGAAATACAACCACAACTATGCTGAGCTGAGATGTTTACAAAACTCCGGACCGTAGGTGACTGCGGTGGTAAAAAAAAAAAAAAAACTGAACCCAGTGAAGCTATGTAGGCTGCCAACGTGAGCTCCCCAAATCAATCCCATTGACAGGTGACTGCTAATGGTACTGATTCTGTTAGCTGAGAAACAGCCGAAACGAACGACCTGTATTGTGTTGTGGTGAACACGTTACCCCCGGAAAGGGTAATAGTGCGTTCGTTCCCCACCACGGAAACCTGCGGTCTGGAGTTTTGTAAATATCTCTGCATCGTAGTGGTTGTGAGTCATATAGTTTCATCTTAGGCAAGATGGAAATACTCTCGTCGAAATATGAATCCTGTGATAGAATAAGACTCAGCAATCATACTATACATAGAGATAAACGATATTCTATATATGTGAACCAATATGGTTCCTGACCATCATCATACCTACATCTCAGTACCACGTCACCACAAGCTCCTATAGGCAACTTCGACGGCAGATTGATCCCAAGAATGGGTTTGAAGTACTTCACATTGGAATGGACTGAAATAAGGAGGTAAGATGCTATCTAATTTAAGAATAACGACTAAGACCATTCACGCTATTTCATTATTCAAGGAGCCTGCTTCGGAATATATACATTAGGTTCCTCCAGTCTATGCCATATAAAAAAGCATATATAGCGAAATTGATCACATCATACTGGATGTTTTGCACAACAGCCGTCCCTTGCTAGGATCTGCATGGATCATTACGCAAGTTTCTTATTTTTGCAGCGAACTGAGAAAGCGGCAAAATACAAGGAAGGAAATCTCCCATGCTAGCTCTAAGAAGCCAAAAGTTTGAAAATAACACTGGAACGTTTTGCACTAAAAACATCAGGCAAACTGCCAACCTACGTCCATATGCAAGGATTTGTGGACAAATGATAAGAAGTATTTTAAGAAGCAAACGTCAACAGCAACTACAGAAGCTTCTAGAACCGGTGAAGGCGCACAAGATGATTGCTGAGACTTCGTCGACTGAATGATCGAATTTAGTATTTAGTTCTCCTTAGTTACTTACTTGGATACTTGGACGGTCCGTCTTCACGAGCTGTGCGGACGCCAACACATAAGCTATTCGTTCCTTTCTCTCGCAATCGTAGTCCATGGTGGTGGTTTTGTTCGAGCATGGCAGCGCTTGCGAGTCTCATACCGTGATCTGTAAAACAACTGCAGCTGCGCATACAGCTGATTAATTTTGTTTACGAACACGTCCGCCAACGTGTAGGTGATCGTCCTAGGGGACGTTTGCGTTTTCTTGGAGTCCTCTCTCCTATTCTTTTCGTCCATCTGTCGTCTGTTTTTCTCATTATGTGACCGGCCCATCTATGTTTCGCAATCGATGTATATTCTCTTGGGTTCCAAAGATTTGACAGATTTCGAGGATCAGAGCCTCGTATTTCGGCTAAATATTGAGAGTGCCGCTTGTATTTCAGAAGACATCATTTGAACGCTCTATGAGTAGTGCACAGTATTCTTGACGTAGTTGAAGTATCAACCCACGTCTCTGCAGCATAACAGAGGGGCTGGGAGGACCGTCGAATGAAAGAGATGAGCGCGAATTTTCGGGTTCTTCAGTTGGTCGGTGGCTTCTTTGAGAAGCCCGAATGCTGCTCAAGGTGCTCTCCTTCTATCTAGTTCCTCGTTCATATTGTTTTCCATGTTCATTAATCGTCCAAGATAAACGTACAAGGTGGTCTCTCTAATCAGAGAACTATTCAGTTCAATTTGTTCTCCTTCGCATTGTGGGTTTTTTATGAACTGGGTCTTCTTTCGATTTATGCAAAGTCCGATTTTTTTCCCGCTTCGTTGAGCTCGTTGATAATCGCCTCTGCTTCGCTATTACTTCTTGAAAAGATCACAATGTCGTCGGCAAAACGAAGGTTTGATAGGATTTTCCACCAATACGTATGCCTTTCTCATACCAATCGACTGACTTCATTATCCACTGCAGTGCGGCACTGAACAGCATTGGTGATATTGTGTCGTCCTGTTGAACCCCTTTTCCTATGGGTATTGTAAGAGGTCGATGGAAAGCTGTATTTTCGTAGTGCAGTTCCGATAACAGTCGGACAGAGTCCTTATGTAGGACTGCTCCACTCCTTGGTCGACGAGCGCTGATAGGATTGCATTTGTTTCGAGAGTCAAACGCTTTCTCATAGTCGACAAAGGTTAGGACTAGAGGCAAGTGGTATTCCCGACAAACTTCGATGACCCCGGACACCGTTTGGATGTGGTCCATGCAGCAAAATCCTTTTTCGAAATCCTGCTTGCTCGACTGGCTGTGCCTCATCCAATGTCCTTGATATGCGCGAGAAGATAATCTTCGTGAAGAGCTTGTGGAGTACACTTAACAAGCGTATGGGACGATAGTTACGAAGACCTCTTCGGTCTCCTTTGTTGGGTAGGATAACCGTGCGCGACGTCCTCCACTCGTCTGGGATTTTCTCCTTTTGAAGGTAGCCTGTCATATGATTTGCGAGAAGTACATGTAAATTGTGGCCTCCAGCTCTAAAGAAATCGGCAGTAATTTTATCGGTTCCTGGAGCTGTGCCTCTTTTCATGCTTTCTATCGCAACTCGAACCTCAGAAGAACTCCAGGTGGCTTTTCTCCAGCGGAGATATTAGTGCCCGAGACGGGAATTGTGGAACGAAAAAGGTTGGTGTAGAACGTTTCCGCTATTAATTCCACATCATGGCGGAAAGTTTTGACGATCCCATCTTCAATGATGCTGAGATATTTGCAAAACTCTGGAACGCAGGTGTATGCGGTGGGAGTAGTTATATTTCACAATGTATACCCTGCCGTTAAAAAGAGTAGGCAGTAAATAATACGTTAAGTTGTGATCCCATCTTCGTTCATTAGGGCTGACAGCAGAACATTATAATCACACAAGTCCCGACGGTATTTTTTCAGACTGCTTCTTTTCTCTGCTGCTTCCAGTATTTTCTTCTGCTTGTACCGTTGTAGATCTTCCTGCAAAGCTCTTCGGCAGCTGGCATTTATTACTAGCCATGTTAAACGTGTTGCAGTAGGATCAAGCTCCAGTTGCTCTTTTTTTTTTTCGAGCAACTCCTTAGTAGTGATGGAGATGCGATCCGGTCTTCTTGCTTGAGGAACTGTGGCCAATTCGGCACAGCTTTTCAGTCCTTCGACAAGCAGCTCGTAGTCTTCGGCCAGGTCTTCTTTAATCTGCCAGTCACGTTTGAACAGGACTTCGTTTAGAATGTACTCGTCGTATACAGCTAGACTTTTTCCTCGTTGTCGATGAATCGGAACCCGTACAGAGTGACGAGACTACCGATGTGCCAAGTAAGCACTATTTTCTGTTTATCAGAATATGGTCGATCTCCGCATGAGTCATGCAGTTGGGAGACTCCAATGTCCAGCAGCGGCTTTCTTTCTTCTGGGAAAACGAGTTTTCATGGAGGAGACGTTCTGCTGGCAAAAGTCCTGCGAGACGGTTCCCATTCCTAATTGTTTCTCCTAATCCAAAATTTCCGGTCTTGTGTTCGCTCTCGTTGGCCTTTCCTATTCTGGCGTTGTAGTCTTTAACAACAAATTTATGATATGCTTTATCATTGCGGATGACTTCCTCCAACTGATAGTAGAACGCATTTAATTCCTTCTCATCAGCTACGTCGGTCGGTGAGTAGCAGTTGACGATAATGATCTTCTTATGATGCGACAGTTGAAGACGGAGGACGGATATGCGAGGAGAAAGGATCACGTATGAGTCGACGGGATGGACAATGGACCGGTGGACGACAAAGCCTACGCCACCGACATTTCGTGACGGAACCTTTTCTCCGCGGGTCACAAGGGTCCCGTTGTTTAGTTGGCGAATGTCTGTCTTTTTGATTTTTGTTTCTTGTAATGCGGTCACATGAAATTTAATTCGATCTACGGCTGCAAGAAAGGCGTGAAGATCGGCGTCTCTGAAGAGTGTTCTGGCATTATAAGTGCATAGTTAGAAACAATCTCCATGGCGTGTTGTGCGTGTGTTCGTCAGATTCGGTTCCAATGACGTCCTGCGTAACCCGAGATTTCCTGGCCTCTCACCGGTTCACCACCTGACGTCATAGACGGGAGCACCCAGTGTGCGGGGTACTGAGGCCGGCCTGTTGCTGGTCGTGCGACTTGGTCCTCCCTGGAGTCCTGACGTAACCTTGCCAGAGCGTATCCAGGTCCTCACCACGATGTGGATCAGAGGGAGGTGTGTTTTCAGCGACGAGTCCTTCTGTCGGTCTTCCTACTAGTTGATTCGGCGAGGTGTTAAAACCGAAATCAGAAACGAAAGTAGGAATGTAAAAGTAACCGACCGCTCAAGGACGATGTGGAAGCCGAATTCATTTAATCCGTTTCTTGTAATGCGGTCACATGAAATTTAATGCGATCTGCGGCTACAAGAAGGGCGCGAAGATCGGCGTCTGTGGTGAGTGTCCTGGCATTATATGTGCATAGTAAGAAACAATTTCATGTGCGTTTGCGTTTTCTCATTGTACAATAGAATTTAACTTCCCGTATGGAACAATCACTGAATTCAGAAAGGTAGTAAAGATGGTCGCCCATTATTTCCTCCTCGATCTCTTCGTGTCCATGCTTCCACACAGGAGGTAAGATGTTGGCCATGTGGCCCGGAAACTCACCGTCTAAAAGTTCAACATACTACATCGCTAGTGAACAACCGGTCCCGACAATTTAGACACGGATATCTAAATAATTCAGTGCCAATTCTCATTACCACACCAGTTCCGCCTCCAATACCATTCTATGTAAGAACGTAACAAAACTCTTTAATGGATAAAAGAGAAGGACTGTGCGCTTGAAGGAAATGGAAGACTCGTCATCGTTAGCTATCGCCTAATCCTCGAATCATTTGTTGTTTGCAAGCTCTTTAGTCCATCGAAATCAGGACATCGAAAGCCACACAAGTTATTCTCCGAAAGGGGTTCAGTGTGTTGCATCGTGTGCGAACGGTAACAAAAAGACTTGTTAAAGTACTTGCCCAATACAAGACAGTTCTGCCTTTTACCACCGGGCAATTAAAAACAAACCCTACACATTTAATAAAAGGATAACAGTGGAAGTTTAAGGAAACCAGGACACCTCCATTAGATGAATACGATTTCTTCATAAAGTTCACGAGTAGAATAGCGTGGCCATTCTATAAGGATGTAATCATTGACGTAAAGGGATACGTCCGACACAGCGATAAAATCTCGCCGAAATTAATTGATGCCGCTCTCCAAACTGTCATGCAAAAGCTTAAGAGAATAATGGGCACCAAGGGAATGAAAATCGATGACCGGACCTAGAGCGTTTCTCTTTGCGTATGACATTGCCGTCGTGAGATCAAGCATTAGCCAAGCAGAATGAATGTTGGCCTACTATTGGTTTTCGGTTAGAACAAAAGAAAAAAATACTATGACGAAGAGATTTGTTCGTCGAGATATACCACCCGTATTCAACGGCACCAAGTGTTTCCCAATCCTTCTGCCACTTATATCTTGCTTATTTACTTCGATACTTTGATTCTTCGTCTTCACCGGTTGTGCGGGCCTCAGTGTAATTTTTATTCTCTGAAGTTTTCCTTGTTTAGCCACTGTGGTTCCTGAAAGTCTTGAGGTCAATCTGGCCTAACACTACCTCTGGTAGCCGCCGCCCTAGGCAGTCGCTTCCCATATGGGTTAGAAGGAGATTTGTTACCATGCGAGTAGTTTGGTACCAGAATGGTGATGATTCCTGCTATTGTTTCACTCTTAGGTGGACTTCCAGATGGAAACTATTATACCACCATATAGCTACCTGGACCACTCATACCTGGATCAGTAATCCACCATTATGAGCGACGTGTTTCTATAGCTGAGCAGGGCGAATAGAGTGGTTTGCAGAGCTTAGAAGAGTACCAATAATGTAGTATGAATGATAAAAATTTCAAGTTTTTATGCCACATATTAACTGCTCGTTTCTTTCTGCTTTAACTGTTACTCGAACTCGTCGTTTTCTCTGTCAGCAATCGCTAGGTTGTTAAACAGCATACGTTTACTTCCATACAATAACACACATACAACACAATCGTAGCTGACGTTTCGGCAGAACCGACTTCTTCAGAGCCACTTTTTTCACCTGTTTTCGTCAACCGTCGAGTCGTCAACCATATGCGACTCTGTGCGCCTATTCTTCCTCGGCGGAAGACGATTCGGAATGTATAGCGTTGCCTAACCCCTCTTTTCACGTCAATGTTAATATCGTTGTAGAATAGTGATATCTTCGTTGTGAAATTTTTGTACAATTCACGAAGAATCTTTATGTGCTGAATAGGCACTCCTTGACCATCAAGGGCTTCCATGGCTAACGTGAAGATGTTGAATGAGCCGATCGTATTCTTCGTCGATGCTATCGACAACGACGTATTCCCAAGAGCCGACTAATGAATTGAATAAGTCCCAGTTTATGGTGGTTCTGGGACTTCGGTTTTTAAATTTAGCGACCTTTTCTCTTTTCCGCGAGGAATAGAGTATTGCACGAAGGAGGCGAAGGTCGCATCTCGTGTAGAATTTTGCGACAACAGCGACATCGGTTTGGCAAAATGTTCTATTTACTATGATGTGGTCTATTTCGTTATGTTACTCTCCCACATCCAGCGTTGAGGGTGCGGCTTCTGAAATTGCGAGTTACTATGGATGGTCTTGGTCGTGAAGACAAACTTAGACAGCTGCCCACCCTGTTCGTTCCATTCTAATCCGTGTGTCCCAATGTGAAGTTTTTCAGACGTTCTTCTTGGTCCAGTCTTAGCGTTGAAATCTTCAGTGACGCCCTTGAAGAATCTGGTTTTCTCTGCAGAACTTCTCCAAGTCCATGTAAAACGCTTCTACTTCTTCTTCGTCATAGTTTGATGGCCCGTAAACGACGAAGACTGTCGAAGCCGGAATTGATCCATGTCTTTTTAATCTTAAACGTCCGATTCGAGTCTTAAGTTGTTTGAATGAATCGTTGTTCATGACAAACTCGTGTTGACGAGAACGCCGACGCCGGCGACTCCTCTAGTGTCGCATGTTCCGAAGAACAACACAATACAATACAACAGTAGCTGACGTTTCGGCAGTATCGCCATCTTCAGAGCCTGGAAGGATGTACTGATATACAACTTACTAGACCAAACGCTTCAATGACACTTATAAAAAGACGAAAAACTCCGTGGTAAACACATGATCAATAGCTTCTCGAAAAACTCACCGCTTTTTACGTGACTTCCAACGAGGAAGATTAGAATAGCTCACTACAGTCGCATATGGTTGATGACTCGGCTGTGAAGAAGCGATACTGCCGAAACGTCAGCTACTGTTGCACTGTATTGTGTTTTTCTATGGAAGTAAATGTATGCTTCAACGATGCTGAGATATTTGCAAAACTCCGGACCGCAGGTGCCTGAGGTGGTGAACGGACGCGCTATTGTCCTTTCCGTTGAGTAACGCACAAAGGCGAACAGTGGAAAGAAAGAAGAGAACTGGTGAGCACCACCACACCATGCGTGTTCTTCGTTTCGCCTGTCTCTTAACTAGTTCTATCGATCTCTCTGATTGCTGACGGCAAAAGATCGATAGAATAGCTGAGAGACAGGCGAAACGAAGGACCCGCATAGTGTGGTGGTGAACGCGTTACTCCCCGGAAAGGACAATAGCGCGTTCGTTCCCCACATCAGACATCTGCGGTCCGGAGTTTTGCAAATACCACAGCAACACTGAAGTTGTATTTCGCAGTATACGCTGCTATTAAAAAAAAGTAGGCAGTAAGTAATAAGTTAGTTAAAACAAGTAGAAACATTTTTTAGACGATTAGTCACGCAGAGATTAAAGGAAAGCCGATTTTTAAGATGTATGTAGGAATATTTTAAACTATTTAGTTTTTGTTTCCGACATTGGTCATGGAAAGTTTTACATTCCTGTTGCATTCTACACTCTTGACATTTGCCACTTGATGACGTCACTACAAAATTATGTGCACTCAAGCTTGACTGTTTATTTTGTCTCTGCTGGAAGCATTTGCTCTCAGCTCGTTGACTAAAGATGCATAGAGAGGCCACGCTTACGTAACGTCCAGATTCCCGAGCTGTACCGTTAACACTTAGACTCCAACGTTAGTAGCTTCCCAGTTACGGATGGAAAACAAGGTTTGGATAGAACGACTTGATACCACTTCATTTTCTTCACAGCTGCTCATTTTGCAAGCAGAAGTTTTTAGACCAACGATCCAGCATGGTGCAGTCGTCAACCACATGCGACTATAAACAGCTGTTTTAAACTTCCTCATTGGAAGTCACGAAAAAAGTGGTGGGTTTTTTCGAGAAGTTGTTGATCATGTAATTACCAAAGAGTTTTTCGTCTTTTTGTAAGTGTTATTGAAGCGTTTGGCCTAGTAAGTTGTATATCAGTACACCCTTCCAGGCTCTGAAGATGGCGATACTGCCGAAACGTCAGCTAGCGTTGTATTGTATTGTGTTTTTTTATGGAAGTAAATGTATGCTGTACAACAACCTCGCGATTTCGGAACAAGAAAAGGACGAATTCACACTAGATGTGCTCCAGCGCCGTAATCGTTTATCCCAGATTCAGGAAGTTGCAAACTGTAGAGCAACAGACAATTAGAATGAACTTTTAATAACTCAAAAGACCGACTTTCTATAAACCTCGGCATTTTTGGCTGATATATTTGCTTAGATAATCTTATAAACCGATCTTTTTTAGCTGATACGAGGTTGGCACAGGTCTTCGTTGCCGTTGTCGTTGTTGTTGTGGTTGCTGTTGCTCTTGTTGGTGGATGGCTGACGTTTCTGTGATTTTCGCCTTCCTCGGAGCCGTGATGTTACGAGTTTGAAGTCCCACTCTCATCAGTTAAAGAAGATTATTTTATAAGATCAAATAAATAGAAGGACTTTTTTCAATGAAATTTCGGCGTTGGAGAATGCTTTGGAGCTTCATCGCGGCTCCGCCATTCATCCGTTCTTCGCTGATTGTTCACAACACGGTCGAGAAATGGCTCCATCTGGTTGCGACGACTCGACGACAATATACCTTTGACGATTTCTTTGATTGCAATTTAATTCGTGTAACACTAATCCGTCGAGGTATTCCTATTTTAAAGTTTTCTTTTATTGCTCCAAAACAACTGCATGTCTTCACTGAGTTCCTCTACAAGTACTTGAACAATGGCGAGTGTACTTGCTTCCACCGAAGCCTTCAATTCATCGTCGTCAGTAATAAAAGAACGTTCACGACCTCTCATCTTCAAGGTTCATTTCGATACGACGGAATTTCTCTTGGCCAAGTTTATACCATGCGTGTCGTTAGCAATTCCTTGCCTCCATACACTCGATTAATACATTATAGGGAGCACTCCTTCGATCCATTCGCGTGGCACTCCATCCGAGTTTCAAGTCGTAGAACTAGACTTAACGAAGAATTCTACTCTTAAAATTTGTGAAGATTCTCGAAACGAACGGGGATATAGAGACCATCATCCAGCTTGCAGAGAATACCCTCAATTTCCACATATTTTGATAACAACCTCTTTTTTTTGAAAGTGGACGTTTATTAAGGATCGAAATGGGCAATTAATGGCTTCTTTCATGAATAAGCTGCTACGAGATTGTTAGAAAAGGTTTATCCTGCTAACGTTTCTGCATCCTTACCTTCTTGTGAACCAAAAAATTCCGAAATTCTTTTTCGGTTTTCATTTTTTTCGGAAATAGAGATAAAGCAACGAAGAGTGACCATGTGTTGGCTTTACTATCAGTGATAAACAGATATCAGCTTGTCTACTTTTATTACCAGCTTTTTTGCTACTTCGCGTGACTCGTCGTCACATCTGCTGTGCGAATCCTAACCCTTCTTGCACTCAAGTCGTTTTCTTCGCACTCATAGTCCACAAAGGTCTTCGAAGATTTTGTGTGTTGCTTCGGTTGTTGCTTAAGGATTTCTTACTTGTTTATGAATATCATAGGATGCTGGTCGAGTAAATTATCCTTGCAAATCCTGGAGAGAGCCAGTTTGGGGAAAGAGTGTTGGGTAGAGAGCTGGGCTAGCGCCTTGCTTCTGGTAGACCACAGTAACCACATTACTAACTAATCAGCTTTCCTCCTTTCTCCAACAAGTTTAGCTGCATCCTAAAAAAAAAGACCATTCCTCTTCTGAAGAGAGGGCTCCGAACGTGGCCATATGCCGCGTCTCAGAAAGGAGATTAGGTGAGCATTCGCGTGAGAATGACGTGCTTGATCTGAAAGAAAGATTTATAGATAAATGAAGTCCTTGTTTTTGCTGTATCACATTGACCAGCAATTTCCGTATACACGTAGTAATGATAGTAGTAATTCATTCATAGATGTGTGGGTGTGCTCACATGAACGGGTTAGGCTTAGGAAGTATCTGTTTAGAACACCGTTCGGATTGTCTCAATAAACAGTCCTACGTCTGTTTTATGAATACCCTCATAAAAACCCACAAGCTAGCTATGGATAGATATCCACTTCTCAAAAATTTAACAAAAATCAAAATTCTGGGTAGCTCCTGCCCCTGATGTGATTGAATGGGAACTTAACTTGCACACTTGATTTACTCGATGATTAAAACGGTTATAGATTATGTAGGTGGTGATAAAACTGAAACGTAGGTTTACTCCAAGAAAAGTAACCCATAATATGAAAAGGTGACTAGAGTTTGGCAGCATTTCCATTTTTCTTGGCAATAGAGTTTACCAACGTGCAGGAATTTGGAGGTCGACCCTTGCTAAATTCATGACAAAGAAAAATGCCTTGATAAAGGTAAAACTGGATGCTTTACTTCACCTTCATTAACTGCAAAGCATTTTCACAGGTGTTTTTTTTCGTATTTTTCGCATCGGTAGTTATAATAATCATAAATAGCGCTCGCCTCCGTCAGCAATCACCAGGGTTGATTTAAGCAGCCCAAATCGGCAATGAACCCAGCTGAGGCTGTAGTTATAATCATAATCTCAGCCTTTTTATTTACTGCCTACTCTTTTTAATGGCAGGATATATTGCGAAATATAACTTTTATGATGCTGAGACATTTGCAAAACTCTGGACCGGAGGTGACTGCAGTGGGGACCCGCATGATGTGGTGGTGAACGCGTTACTCGCCGG